AGTGAACTGCTATCCAACAGCAAGCGGGATATTAGCAGGTTAGCGGCACTCACCACGGGACATTGGGCGATCGGTTCGCACGCAATGAAGTTGGGACTGCCATACAATGCAATCTGTAGAACAAAGATGTATAAGTATAAGATTAGTAACGCCATACGATTTTTTTGCACACGATTTTTTCGTGCTGGCTTTTGAACTGGCTCCAGGCTCTCTCGCACTTCGTTCAAAAGCCAGCGAGAGAGCGCTCTAGAGCCAGCCGCTCTCTCGTGCTGGCTCTAGCCGCTCTCTCGTGCTGGCTCTAGACTCTAGAGTCTAGTGCACTCTCACGCATACAGCAATGTTTTCGTGATGGCTCTAGAGCCAGCAGCTCTCTCATACGCATACAGCAACATGGCGTGCCTCAAAATACCGATTTTGCGGTTGAATTTATTACAAATTTGTACATTTATTTTATTTTATTTTTATAATTTATGTATATATTTTTATATATATAAATAAATATTATTTCTAAGTCAATTGAATTGAATAATTATAAATACATATATAAATATGAATTTAAATGGTATTTTTTTGTTATTATAATAATAATATTCTCTGGTGTCGAATGCGACATTCGTACGCATTCAAACTAAAAAAACACATGTGCCAAGACTTTATTTTAATTTTATAAAAATTTAAACGTATAGCTCTTGGTTAGCACTATAATTGGTGCAAAGGTCGATTTTTAACCCTTGTTTGTTTTCAGGATATTCACTAAAATGTACTGCGTTCGCACGCGACAAAAATAGAAGTTACATTTGAAAAAACCAGTTTAAGCTCTGATTTCAGCGAAACGTGATGAAAAATTGTAGTACAATAAATTTTAATGAATTACGCAATGAATTATCTTACTAACGTATTTTGTTTGATTTTAAAATATTAAGTAGTTATTTTTTAAATTCAATTTTAGTCCCGGTCGCACGCGACAGTTTGGAAAGCGCTAATTTAAACTGAAACTGTACGAATATTGGTGATCGGATATGTCCTTTTGCACTTAATATTGAATCTTTGGGTTTTTTATGTCATATTAGAAACCAAAAGTTAAAGCAAAATGGTTCGGTTTAAGAGATGGGCATCAAAACAAAACATGCCATTTTTTATGCCTTTTTTTGATAAAAACAACATTATTTGCGTTTGCGCGTGTTTGACATCGATTTTTTTTTAACTTATTTTAGAAAATGAAAAATTTAAAAATGTAAACAAACTAAAATCAAAACAAACAAACACATCGATATGCACATGTATACATCAGCTGTTTTTGCTGCCGTTCTCGTCCCCCTCTCTACCTAACAAGCGGTCTTCAGCCCAAAATATAAATTTAATTTTTCGTCGTTGGGCATGCGAACAGAAGCACACACATATTCACGCACACATGCGCACTTTTTTGTTCTGTGTTTACTCATACATGCAAACGAATTCTATTTTTAGATATTTACGCTCTCAACTTTGTGACAGCAGGGAGAGCGCCATTGTCGTTTGAATCAAAAAATTAGCCTCATATTGCAAAACGAAAGTATGGCCGTGAGGCATCTTATAAGTTATAAAGTCTTTGTGTAGAAGCTGTAAGCAACACACAGAGCAAGGGACACCGGAACATTTGCTCTGCTTCTGCCCAGCGCTAAGCCACATCAGATTTCGCCACTTTGGTGCCTATCAGATGGAGTCACTGGGAAGCATGGGAAAGCTGAAAGTTTCAGCAATCCTAGGTTTCCTTACTGACTGTGGATGGTACTGATAGTGAATCAACAACAACAAACAGAGGGAGTGGAACAAAAAGGAGCTTAGCTCAAATTGGAGGCCCCAGCAATGGGCCTCACCACTGTAACCCACCTACTTACCGATGTACTGTTCTGCTCTTATTACGGTATGGAGAGTGTAAAACACAGTTTTCAAGCAGTGAGAGAGCGCAAGCTCCGTTTTTAATGCCTGTACGGTGACACGAAATTAAAAATACTAGAAGGTTGGATGACGTTAGGAGATTCTCGATACACTTTTAGTATTTCTTGAGCGGCTTGTAAGAAGAACAAAAATTGTAATACCACAGGTTGTCTCTCTCACACTTGCAGCCTCTTTGCATATTTTAACTTATAGATCCCGATATGAACAAAAATGTGCGGAAAAATTAATTAAGAACTTCAAAAGAGCTGATACAGTTAATAAAATAAAATTAGTAAAGGGAAATGCAATATTTCGGGTTTTTGGCATATACATATATTTTTTTTGTAAGAAGGATGGGAACCTTTAAGTGAAACATAAGTTAGGAATGTTGAAAGACAGCAAGGGCAAAATGGGACAGTTCGCCTTGCCGATCTGAGAGTTCTTGATGCTCCAGATTCTTTCATAAACCGGGCTTCGATCCACCCGTATTAAATCATCCGAATTCGTTGTGCAGGTATTCCAGATAGCTTTCATATTAAAACGTCTGGGAGCTGTCCAAGGGAGGCGCCAACGCTAGAATACATGTAAATCGGGCATACATAAACCAAAAACCAAGCATCATATGTTGAACGTATTTTAACGTTTAAAAGAGCCGGGCCAACAAAATATGACCGAAACATTTTCCCTTAAATAAGGCCGAAAAACTAATGAAAAAGAAAATAAACTTTTTTGTGCTATCAAAGAGTTTTATTCTTTCCATACCGTGCTTTACCTTAAATTCCCTGCTTATCGGCTGATAGAATATTTATATACATACTAGCTGTACCCTGCCACGTTTCTCTGTGGCATATTGTGGTTAAGAGGGCACTTCTGAATACATCAAGGTTATGGCAAAAGCATCTTCCTGGCATAAGGTGAAGAAGGCAGTCAGAGTTGTCGTAGGCGGATTCAGAACTCTTTCTTGCACATTTAGTTCTGTGAAATAGACACGTTGACCATTCTCCAAATTGACTGACAAGTGAACTACAGCTGGATAGCGTTCATGAATTGGGAACGAAAAAATTCGCCATGCAGCCTCGTTGCTGCTTATGTATCTTCCAGCCTGGTATTGAGAGATTTCATCGACAACTCGTACTGCATTGCTGTCACCATTTTCTGCCTGAACACCAAAAACTGCCATATCGCTGCCTTTATTCACGTACTTGCAGTTATATTTAATCAATTTTACGGAATTGCAATATTCTACGTTGATGTGCGCTTTGTATGATTTTGACAATAGTGGTGAGTACGGAACCACCCAACGATTGTCTACCTCAATATCACCAATTCTCATGTTTAAAGTTGCCGAAGTCCCTCCATCTTCAGTTGACCGTCTCCTATACGGAGGATATCCATCGTTTCCTGTTACGGTGTTGGCTGTAAATGCTCGAGGATATCGCTTGGAACACTTCCCGTCTACCATGCATGGTGAACATGGGTTGAGGGTACCACAGGGGCCATGGATCATGTTCTTGATGACAACTTCATGCAAATCCGTATCAACCTCGGCCCGTGGAATCTCAGCGCATATAACATCGTCAATTTCATCTGGAGTAATTTTATCATACAGCCAAATCAGTTTGTGCGCATGCGGCAATCCTCTCTTCTGCCATTCTACTGAATACATCCAGCACCGCACAGATCCAAAAACTCCATGTTTCACAATGAAATCCATCAGTGACTTGAGCTTTTGTCTGAAAACACGGGCTGTGATGTCATGCCTATCCCTATATGATTGTCCAGGAAATAACAGCTGTACTATCTTGTCCCAAGCTGGATCGCATGTGATGGTGATAAGTAAATCAGGACGGCCGTAGCAACGAACATATGCAATGGCATCTTGGGCATATTCCTGCATGTGGCGTGGACTACCTATGTATGAGAATGGCAAAATCGTGAGCTTTCCAACGTTGGTTGTATTACGGTCATTCATCACAGTCTCCCGCAAATGGATATATTCCTCCGACCGAAGTTTCGTCTGATTCAATCGAAGGAGCCTGACAGTAATGCAGGCCTGATGCATCCGGCCAATAACGACATTACGATTCGAGCTGTAATCAACAGTTGGATTATATCTGAATGCAAGGTTTTGATCTGCTGCAAGCTGTAAACGCGCTTCAGCTACCCTTGCCCTGTCGCGTTTATTATTTTGAGAGTTAATCAAATCGATTGCTGCAGAACGCGACTGCCTAACTCTCAATCGTTTTCTCTCAAGCCTATCTGCTCGTCTTTCTGCTGATACCGCGTTGTGCATCTGCATTGCTCTCAGCCGCTCAGTCTCGCGGATGGAGGCCCGCTCTTCAGTCAGTCATATTCGTAATCTTACGTCTTTTTGCTTCTGTATTGCGATTTCGACGACCCAAACTCGACTTCTTGGCTCGACTTCGTTTCTTACTGAACCTGAACAAAAAAATAAAATTTTTATCTCCAATTTCTTCTTTCAATATTTTTGGGATGTTTGACAGGAAATGCTTTGATTCAGCTGGCTGCCTGTAGAGGCCGCAGCATTAGGGGCACGGGGAAACGCTAAAAAATTGATATATTCGCAACCGCAGATAAGCTATCAACATCAAAAGTAGACAATAACCGAGCTGGAACATCAACGCGTGTTGTGTAAAAATTTGGGCTTAAACGGTTCAGAACTTTTCAAGTCTATGAAGGAAGTAGACACGAACAGAGCATTTTTATATATATAGATTTTCTATACGACTGACTAGCTAAATGACGGAAAATATCGGAAATACAGCCAGCTGGAAACAGTTGTTTTATCTTAATTTCATTTATAAATTTTAAATTTAAAATATCAAGGATTATAGAGAACTAAAAAATTATTGCCATGACTTGCGAAAAAATTTTGAATTTGAATGAATTTTTTGAATTTACATGGAATACCCTAATTTATATACTTTGAATAGTAAACTCATATCCAGCGTCATCGAAGATGGACGGTAGATGGTGCCTTATGGGAATTTGCTATGGCAACACGGCTTTACTTAAACGTTAAATTTCGATGCTGCTTTGATATAATTGTTATATTTTGCTGAAGCCGACAGTATTATTCGATGTTTCAAGAGTGGTCACACTGCGACGAATTCCGATAAAAGTAAACATAAATAATCTTTGAATGTGTCTAGAGAGTATTTAAAAAATAAGTCCCCGTAATTAAACAAACGTTATGAACAAAAGCAACCACAACACATCGGACACCGAAAGCGATGAAGATTATACTATTGATTGTAATAATGGGACTCCAGAGAGCAGTGACGATTCAGACGCCAGTGAGAACCCGGAAGAATCGAAATACAAATCTTCGAAACGACGTATAACTTTTAAATCAAAAACTGATCCGATTCAAAATGTCTCAATACCAGCTCCGCGCCAGACCCGACAATCTGCAGCATCTGAAAACATCATAAAATCATCGGAAAAGGAGGAGTTACAATCTGACGAAGAGGTCGATAAAACTCGATCTGACACGCTGTGGGCCGATTTTCTTAGCGATGTTGGTACAAACATTATAACTAAGACGGAAACCAATTCTAATAAAGCGACTGATAAAGCAACTCTCGATGTCAATTCCGACGCACTTGAACGTTCCCATACATCCACAGACAAAGCCTCGAACGGCTTCGAAAAGTCGTTAGTTGTACAAAAAAAACACACAGAAGAAAGTGTCTATGCCCCCAAGCGACAGGCTAAAGGCAGCAGTGTCAGCGCAGTCTTAAGTCAATTTACAAAAAAGAAAAAAATGTCTGTTCTGGAAAAGTCTAAGGTGGATTGGAAGGACTTTAAAACTGACGAAGGTATAAACGAGGAACTTCGCACCCACAACAAGGGAAAAGACGGGTAAGTTTAATACCTATTTTCATATTCAGACATATCTTTAATATTTATAATTTTGGTAACATTTCAGATATTTAGAACGACAAGACTTTTTGCAGAGAACCGATTTACGACAGTTTGAAATTGAGAAAAAATTGAGGCAGTCCAGCCGACAAAACTGATGTAAATATATCTTAGCCGTGGCGTTTTAATTGTATTCATTCCTCCGTATCATATCTTATTTAATTAAAAATAATAAGATGCATTCAAATTATTCAAACATATTTATACGTTAGAATCGAAACTTTACAGATCACGGACAGATCACCACAATGAAAAAACTGACTTGAATATTTTATTTTTTTGCCAAAATGTATTTACTTGATTTTTATATTTTAGCAGGGTATTAAAATTTTGACCAAATGTTTGCAACGAAGTGATGAGATATACTTGAGAGTCGAGTCAATTTAGCTTCGTTTGTCTGTCTCTCTATGTTACCTCGCCAAATGGTAACGCTTGGATATGAATATCCGTGGCGTCATCTAGGAGTCAGCAAGTGAGTTGTTAAGCGACCCCTGGCGGTAGGCATAGGAGGGTTGCGGAGCGTGTTGAACTTTAAGAAAGTTTAACAGGGCCAAGATTTCGCCTTTCACCCGAAGAATTTGCTATCTTCGGAAAGGTCGATCGGCTTCTTCTCGCTTGTAGGTATAGCGGGCTGGTTCTTACCATTTTGGCCTCGCAACCGAGTAGTTGAATGCTGCTGAAGACAAGTTCTAAGTTTAATAGGTGACTCTCAAGAAGATTGGAAAAGAAGAAAAAAAAAAAGAAGAATGAACCTTTTGGTAAGCGAGAGGCATTGAGATAAGCACTGCGCTAAGAAAATTCTTGTGTAGGAATATCGGCAGCTTTAAATGTTCGTCGCCGAATTGGGCAGCAAAAAAACGCTCAGGCCGAGAGGGGAGCGGAGGAAGCCAAGCCCAAAAGAGGAGGAGACAATGAAGACAATCGCCATTTGAAATTGTACCTTTGTATTCTTCAATATATTAATTTCCGAGATCCAATGTTAAAAAGCGTCAGGAAATAGCTATCGGTTGTGAGTGAGTAAGTGAATGGCTCGTAGCCATTAATTTGTGATTACGCCCCAAATGCGCCATACTAAGTCCTACTAGAATTGGAGTCCCCGTTCTATATGAAAGAAAAACCCAGAGAATGCTAGCTTAAAGTAAAAAGGGAAATAATAATCGAAAGCCTAAAATTAAAACCTAATTAAGAGGTTTACAACTCTTTGCGAGCCTCAAAATGTCCCCTATACTTTTTGATCTCTACACCGAGAGAAATTGTGTTTATGTCTACAAATGCGAATGTTTGCAGAGGATACATTGTCTTTTATATGTATATCGCTTCGCGATTGAAACAACATCATTGTCGCTACATTTCCAAATAGTTTAAATTCAGATATAAGTTTTATGGTACATTGTTGATAAGAAATTTATATTGTCGAATTTCAAGGATGTAAATTTTAGATCGTTAGGAATAAACTTTTTATAATGAGGTAAATAGCCACTTTTAATTTGTCTTCAGCTAGCCAACCTTCCTTAGGGATGCCTTAGTCAGGGTTCAGAAGAGGTCATCAAATGGCATATAGGATGTGATGACCATGGAAGGGAGGGCAAAGCCGCTTCAACTCCATCAGGAGCGAGCTAAATGACCCGCAAGTGTGTTTACCAGTTGTTGTCTCAGTGTATGTGTTGGTTTGGCTATGTATATTTTTTTTGTCGTAGCGCGCATTGATGTAAACTGTGAGATTCGTTTAATAGGCATTTCCTAGTGAGGCAAGAACACCACCAATCAGCCGACGAGCCCGAGCCGGGACAAGAAGCGTGCGCCGACCTAGGAATAAGAACATCTGCCAAAATCGTTACAATTATAATTTATTTATTTGTTTAATATTTAGAATCCTATAGTTTCTGGCGCCCACCGTATGTGGCCAAATAAGTTTGCAGGAGCTGTATTCAGATGCGGTCTGCAATAAATTCACATTTACACACTCAACACACTTAGTTACTTTTAGCGGCACAGGTTCTGGAGTGGGCTTTAAAAGCTAATACGTTTGTATACGCTTATGTAAGCCACGGTTAGCTCACGTAGCTAATAAGTATCTAGTTTCGTTAGCCAGCTTTGATTAAAAATTAGCAGCATAGGAAATACGGGTGATCAAGCTGCCAGCAGCGATAACCCGGCCACGGCTTAGGATTACTCAAAAGTGGGCTACTTAATACCTTACAGATGAGGTATCGGCAGTTAAGACTTGGAGATTGCTTTGGAAATACAGGGATGCTCGGCAATCAGTAGTCTATCTCTTGGCCACGGTCATTAAGTCTCAACGAGGGTCCATCAGAATCCATATGATCAGGGAAAATTTTTTGACATTAAACGCTTGGATTTACAGATCAATCTTTTTAGAAGGCTTGACTGGCCACGGGTGATGGACAGAGTAATAGGCCCGATCACAATAGTGGTGGGTGCAGAGGAGAATGAAAGAATACGAAAAAACTGAGGAGCGTTTTGCTTAGCCATAAGCGCTGCAGAGCTAGTTAGCTGCTGCATTGTTGTTCTTTGTTTTCTTTTCTTTGCCCCTCGTCCCATGTATATGTCTGGTAAACACATGATTAGTGTTGAACTAGGAAAGAAGCTATGCTTGAAGACAAATAAATGTTTTAAATCGTTATCTTTCGCAGCGTTTGTTTACATTTTGGTGTTTGCATATTTTTGGAATATTCTTATATATTATTATTATATTTGATAATTTCGTTAATTTTTATTTTATTTATTATTACTTATTGTTTTTTTTATTTAATAATTATTATTTTTGGGTTTTTTTTTTAATTAGGGTCTCTAAGATTGGGATCTGAGGGAATTATTAAATATATTAGAGCTAAATATCAAATTTAACGGCTTTAGCCAACCGCCATGGAAGGAGCAGAAGCTACGTAAATCAACTGCACCTTGTGCGGGAAGGAAATAGGGCAAGAAGGCATCTTCAAAACCCGATGCAAACAGGAGTACCATAAAGCCTGTCTTGCAGCGTACTCTAAAGCTAGAAACACACGATGCAAACAATTTGCAGCAAGTTGATTGCTGCAATCAAATTTGCACGTTTAAACACGAGTGAAAACATTTTGCTGCAAACAAAGAACTTGGAAAGTTTTTTTGCAGCAATATTTGTTGCTTGTCGTCTGTATACATTTTTTACAGCTACGTAGCTTGGTTGCGTCAGTTGCTTGCTTGTTTGCATGTGCTGTTTGCTTTCAGTCGCAGTATTGCAGCAAACAAAGCACAATGTGGGATCGCGACAACACAATAAAATTAATCCAATTTTACGAGAATCATTCCGTTTTACCACTCTTTCACCCAACACTCTCTATTTTTTGCAGATTTCAATCTACTCACTTTTCTAAGATTAATTAAAGTTGCTAATATAGCATATATGTATAGCATATAGTGCCGACATAATATTAACACGTCGTTATTCCTTGACTTTCATAAAACAACAGAACTTGCAAATGAGCTTCTCTTGCAAGCACTTCCAATAAAAAATAAAAATACGTGTAGACAGTAACGCAATATATTGCACGAAATAGTCATGCAAAAGTTTGCGTGCAAAACAAAAATTTATTGGAGCAAGAAATTTTCTTGCTATATTTGCATAGGTGTAAACATTTGTGCAAACTTTTGCTGCAAATTATTTTCAACTTGCTGCAAATTGTTTGCATCGTGTGTTTCTAGCTTAAGAAGCATGGGAAATGCCCGTTCTGCAATACGGTTTGCTTTGAAGTAGCGTCTACGAGCTCTACAACACAAGGTCCAAAGCAGGCGTCAGGAAGTAAAGCCGGAACGGCAGCTAAGAACTCGGAAGAGAGAAGCGGAAACGAAACGACATTGCAGCCGGCCATCTCCACCGATGCGGTAGGAGCCATGATTACGGAAGCTGTAAAGAACATGCAAAGTGAGATGATGGCACAGTTGTCCGGTCATATGGCGCAACTGGTCCAATCAAATCTGTCAGATTTTCAGATACCCCCAGAATTCCAACCTGAGGGAAGACAAACTCCCAGAAGTCAAACGTCGAATTTAGCGAACAGGCCAGATAAAGTTGTCCAGATCATAAATGGCTGGAAGTTACGCTTCGACGGTAGCCCAGGAAGTATTCCTGTGGATCATTTAATTTACCGAGTCGAAACCAAGACTCAGCAGATTTTGGAGGAAATTTTCCAATACTGTGCAGCAATGCCAGCATTCTTTTCGATGGTAAGGCAAGGGAATTTTATTGGAGATTTCACAAAGCCTCTAGGAATATTCGGTGGGACTTGCTCTGCCAAGCATTGAGGAAACAGTTTAAGGACAGTCGGTCAGAGGGTGACATCGAGGAGGCTATAAAGGACCGAAAACAGCGAGAAAATGAGAGCTTTGATTGTTTTTACAAGGCCATTGCTCAGCTAAGGGACAACTTAGAAGCCCCTCTGTCGGAAAAGAGATTAGTGGACATATTACGAAAAAATCTCAGGCCCGAAACAAGGTTCCAATTGCTGAATTTCAAAATTGAAACAGTAGAGGAACTTAGGGAGATGTGTAGACGGCATGAGAAGTACCGCGAAGAGAGGAAACGAAATTTTGGGTATCAGAACAATTGGCCAGCTAGAAAGCAGGTGGCCGAAATGGTCGAGGATCAGTTAGTTGAAGATGCGACTGAGTTTTCAGAGAGCGAATTGGAGGGAAGCTAAATAGAGGCGTTAGCTTTGATCTGTTGGAACTGCCGCAAGGAAGGTCATCGCTACCAAGATTGTGGGGGAAAACGAAAAGTGTTTTGCTATGGTTGTGATGCCCCAAACATATGCAAGCCATTGTGTGAAAAATGGAAGCAAAAAAACCCCATGGCAAACACACAGCCTCGTCAGCTGACGCGTGTTCGTCGCCCTCAGCCCTCTAATCGCGACGACATTTAGGAAAAATGAGTTTTAATAAACTTAGTAATAAAATGGTCGAATTAAGACCTATTAATAGCAAGGTAGTTCCATAAAATTTAATAATTAAGCCGAACATTTTAGCGAGTGAGGATTTTGTTCGTCCGAAAGGCACCTCAGAAGCTCTAGGCGAATGAGGGCCTTTTGGGAAGCAGCCCAAACAATAAACGCCATCCGAAATAAGAAAATGGATAAATGGCCTTATGGTGAAGTAAAAGTTATTGGCCAGAAATTTCTAGGCCTGCTAGATACAGGCACAGCCATGAGCGTAGTAGGTAGAAATTTGGCAAGGAAAATCATTACAAAACGGATTCCATTCAAACGAAGCCA